TTTGGATTATTTGGATTTGGTGGATTTGGATTATTTGGATTTGGTGGATTTGGATTATTTGGATTTGGTGGATTTGGATTATTTGGATTCGGTGTATTTGGATTATTTGGATTTGGTGGATTTGGATTATTTGGAATTGGTGTATTATTTGTAATATCTGGGGCCGGTGGATTGTTTGGGTTATTTGGTGGTTGCGGTGAGATTACAACAGGGCGAGTTGCAGTTGGTGCTGTACCATCTACAGTACTAGGAACAATAATTGTTGGCAAAAAAGTCTCACCATTGTCAGAAGTTGGTGGCGGTGGTGGTGGTGGTGGTAGTGGTGGTGGTGATTCAGGCGGGTTTAAAACAGGACGAGTTACAGTTGGTACTGGACCAGTTATAGAAGAAGGAATAATAATTGTTGGCAAAAGAGTCTCACTATTATCAGAAGTCCTTACCGATATAGTTATTTCAGAAGGGTCAGTGGACGAAGAGATCGATACGCTCCTTGTTATTGTTTGTGTAGCTGATGCATTGGTTGGAATGGATATTGTAGGAAGTTCGGTAGTAATTCCATTATTCGTGGTCGTAATTGATGATGAAGAATCGGTTATTGATGGTGAAGATGGATCAGTTGTAGATGACGATTTGGTCGTAATTGATGATTCAACTTTAGTTACAGTCGGCGACGGTTGACTATTTGTACTACTACTTGAGGAAACAGATTTAGTGGCGCTTTTTTTGTTCGTTGTGCTTATAGTAGCACTCGGACTTGCCGAGCTTTTTGTTGAAGTTTTTTTGCTTGCGGATTGTGCTATATGTGCGTGTGATAGTAACAGATAAATAGAAATGAATTAAATTAGATAATTAGATAGGAATTGAACAGATGGATGAAAATCGCGACTTACATGCAATTGGAGTTTGTCTTTTAAAAAATTTTAGTTGACTTTTCATCAAAAGCATTTTGTTGCGACTTAATCTTTCTTTTTGGGCTTTTACAACAATACCTTTATTTTTATTTTTTAGAAAAAAGTTGATGTTGTCAATTTATTAAACCATTAGCTAACCAAATATAAATATACGCATATATATATACTATACCATAATAATTTAGCAATAATAAAACCAATATAATAAGGAGGCTTGAAGATTTTACTCTCATAGAAGTTATATACGTATTTATAGGAGATAAAGGAATTTTGTGTATATAGGAAAGGATAAAAGGAATGTGAGCTTATGACTTCGACCATGTAAAAAAGCAATTAAAAAACTTTTAATGATAAGGAAGAGGTGAAAGAGGTTCTTTATTTTTATTATTGTTCAAGAAAGACCTCATTGAGAAAAGGATATGATGGTAAAAGTGGTAGGAGAGAGAATACGAGAGAGAATGTAGTAATGAGGAGGGAGGTAAAATGCGTAAACAAAATAAACAGGAAAAATTAATTTAGGAAAAATTCTTTTTTTTTTAAGTAAATTTTAATTTAATATATTCAAACAAGTTAGATTTTGTTTTTTACGTACACAAACATAAATAAATTCACAAATATTAATATTAATTATGTTACAAAATTTCGAAAATTTCATTGTTTTTTTTTATTATATGTAAAATTGATTCCGAGAACAACAAACATTCAAAAGTAAACATTAATATAATCTGTTACTTTACACAACAAATCATTGAAAAGAAATTCATTCCTTTTTTAAAACTTTATACATTAATTGTTTATAATTATTATTAATTTATAATTGTGTACCAATAAACTAATCAAAATCTAATCATAAAATAAATTGAATTCTTCTTCCTAATTTACTATTTTAATATATAAATGCATATATAAATAATAATATTATTATTTAAAAGGGTTGATTCATCAAATAATATTTTTTTAAAAAAAATAAAGATACTAGTCAGTCAGACATGTCAGTGTTACTTGCACACATTTAGCATTGAGACTCCAAATAAATGTACCCACTCCTCCTCAATAAATATTTTGACAAAAAAAATCATTTAACAAGAATGTAAATCGTAATAAACGAGATTAATTTTAACGAATTATTTTATTAACTGTGTCATTGGCAACATCACATTTGTTTGTACTTATTAAATGAAATATAATTTTCGACTTCTTTACAAACTTTAATCAAATCTTTTTCAATGGCATATTTTTCTATTGGATAAACAAAGAACTGTCATAAAAAATTTTTTTTAATTAATGTAGTTTGTCCTATTTGGGAAAACATACTTGGGAAAATTTACGATTATCTTGAAAAGTCCTATGTAAATTATAATAGAAGATAGTACTTCTTTGAGCATTTATCTTATAACAATTATGGTGCGCGCCACTTATACTAGGGATGCAGGGCTTACGTAACAAACCTTAAATAAATTATCCAAATTATCACTATTACTTACTATATATGTTTTTATAATCAACAATATTTGTTATTTGTTGTAGAAATTATCTGCGGGTGATAAATTTGCAGCGAAATCCATTATTATTATCCAATCAAATTTTGAATTTCTAGAGATAGTTTCTAAATTTATTATACTAGTTACACGACACAATTATGCACTAAAAATCAAATGCATAAATGTAGATCATTCCGAAATTTCAATTTATTTTTATTGGTTCAAATAATATAGAAGAACTAAATGGATATGTATAGAATAATAAACAAATCATTTAAATTCCTATCTAATATTTCATTCTTTTTTTCTTTATCTTTTTCCATATTATTTACATCACCCTAACCATTTTTATTAACATTCGTTTCGCTGTAAAAATTAAGATTTTGATCATTTTAATATCCTCTTCCATATCATCTATCTACATCAACCCGACTTGGCTTTAACTCAATTCTCAAAATCTCAATTTTTAATTGCACATGACTAACTATTTATATATTTTTCATATGACTCGATTAATTGCGTCAGAAAGTTGCCCGATTGAGTCAAGTGATCAACTAGGGTCAAAATATTTTAATTCACCATTATTTCATAATTACCATGTCCTCCGAAGGGCAATATATTATCTATGAGAGATTTATCATAACCGTCTTCTGTAATGTTTATTATTATTACACGTATCCAATTGTCAATAGAGAATAAACTATACGATTATCTTTCATATGCCAAAAAGGGAAACAAAACTTTACACAATACTTAAAACAAATATTTTTGTTCAAGATAAAAACTTACAAGAACCATCCACCTCTATTCTATATGTAACATAAACCAAAAATCAATACCTAGAAAAAAACGCAAATCAAGTAAATCAAAAATACTTGAAGAAATTTAAAAGTTGCGATAAAAAGACCAAAATTTTCTCATTTGGTGATGTGGAAATCGGAATCTGCGAACTATGTGTGTGAAGAAGGAAAGAGAATTTTTGCCTTCGTCGCAAAATTTTCTACCAACAAAAAATGAATCCTAGAAGGAAAACAACGGTAGCATTCCAAACCGAGTACGTTTATGATTATTTGGATATCAATTTATTTATGAATATTTAAATTCATTTCGTAATTATTTTGGATACTCGTAATTATAATAACAGTAATTATTATGCAATAGTAATAGCAATCTTCGTAAATATTTAAATTTATTGTCGATAACAAGTATTGAAATAATTACGAGTACCCATATGATCAAGAGTATCGGAATAGGGGTAGGAGTTATGGTAATATAAAATATGGAGAAGATATAGTACAAGACACCTAGTCTCTACAACTTTCTGCGTCACAACGACAATTTTGAGAAAAAATTTACAATCAAAAATATCAAAAATGCAAATAAAAATTTTTATTATCACGTGTTTTTGAAGATTGTCAAGTGCGGAATTTATTATTATCCAAATAATATATATACATAGGTAACAATTAAAGAAAATTTTGTTCATAATATGGTTATCAGTTTTTTTCTTACTGTTATCGCGTAATAAAAGATCGACCATACAAATTTCAATTTTTCCAATTCGTTTCGTTCATTTTTAATATATAAAAAAATTTGCGTGTAGCGAGCGGGTAAATTTGTTAAACTTGTGCAAATGTGAGACTAATTCCTCCACAACAAAATGACATATCAACAAAATGAAGATGTAACTTTGTAGAGAAAAATCTTAGCTTCAAAATTGCATCTTGTATTTTTGGTCATGCACTTCCATTTTTGGAGGAGTTAAAGGACTGCAAGACCAATAAAAGTTGTAGGGACTAGGTGTCTGCACTGTACTAATATTAGCAATGGTAGTAATAATATTGTTAATAATATAGAATAGATTTAGATGTAATTGCTTGGATGTTTTTTGTTTTATAATTTTTTTAATATATTAAATCATATGTTAGTCGAATCAAACTAAACTCGAATGTGGATGGGTACCTTTGTCTCTGCTATTTCATCATGCCTATTACAACATTCGTGATGATTATGTAAGGTATTATTCATAATAAATAATTGCAGAAATGTGCCTTTTAAGGAAAAAAGTCACGTAATGTCCTGACAAGTAGAAGGTGAAGATTTTAATCTATTTTAATCTGAACTTCCTTTCCGTGTAAAAGGGTTAGTTACTGGAGTTCCAGCTCACCCATAATTTGTGGTTCTAAATTATCACGTAGCTTTGGTTGAGTGAGTATGGGAAATTCTATGGTTCATAGTGAAGATGGTGATAGTTATATAGGTGTTTTATTGAAATCATTTCAAAATATTGGTCAAGTGGGTAAGTAAGAAGATTCATTATTTTTTATTATTATTTTAAATTATTATTTTAAATTATTGAATGTAACATTCGCACTTTTAGAATTTTCAAGTATAATATGCATACTAGCAGATAAATATATATAAAAAAGGGCACAATTCGATAATTGATTAAGTTATTTTTCTTTACACGTTTATTTATACATCCAGATATACAGACACCATTCCAACATCCATATACATACCATTCAAACATTCACATTCATTAGACTAACCAAAGAGGAATTTTTGAGTTTTGTGTATGTCATGCCAAATTGAATTTTGCTGAAAATTAAAATGGTCAATGGCATAAGGTTTTTTTATAATTCATTAATGCAGTTCTCAAAAATATAAATGGTATAATGTGATAGATATTTAAAAGACTTGTTAAATTGAGAGTGTGGCTTATTTATCTGAATGGTTTTGGGATTCTGTCCATTAATTTGTATTTTCTACCCATGTTGTTGTTGTTCACATTTCTCACAAAACAATTCTTATAGAGACCGATATTGGCCGTCACTACTTTTAACTTTCGATGCATAAAAAACGCGTAAAAACAAAAATGTGTTGCATACGATATCAAGAGTTTAAAACACTTATAACAGGGCCGATTTTGACCCATAAAACAATATTACTCGGGTATGTTTTTGTTGGCCTTTTTTTTTCAAATAAACAAATTGTATGCTTTATTATTATTATTATTATTATTATTATTATTATTATTATTATTATTATTATTATTATTATTGTGTAAATTAAAATCCGAAATTTCGGATGATGATAATAATAATGATGATACTGGTACCAGTGTAAAGTAACAGTATTTACGACCAATTCTTCTTGTATGAATTGAATTAAAAAAATTTTATATTATTTTAAAAATAGAGAAATATACAAATGTCAAGCGTAAAAAATAGAGTAAAACTATTTGAAAAACCAAAAGAAATTAACAATAATATCACAAATAAAGCGAATAGTACCACCAGTAAAATAAACATTAACAAATTCAATACAAATAACAAACTTACTTCTAACAAAGTTAATATTACCACCACTTATAATGCCTCTAATAATAAATTTAAAACTAAACACTCTGCTGGTAACTATAACACTAATGAAAGCGAAAACAAAGCTGATAATAAAATCATTGCTGGCAATAATATTATTGTCAAAAATAAAGATGCAAAAGTTACCACCACTACCACCGCCATTGCTCCTATTACTACAAAACCTACAAACTCCATATCAACTTCCTCCACAAATACTAACGGCAACATTAAAACTATCACCAGCTCTGACACTGATATCTCCAACATAAACAATAATAATAATAACAATAATAATAATAACAATAATAATAGTAATAAGGGTAGAAAAAGAAGCAGTGGCAGTAGTAAATCCAATAATTTCAAACCAATTAATTCCACTTCCACCACTTCTCTAAATAGTAAAACTGGGCCTATTAGTAGTATAGGAAAGGATCATAATAAGGTGATATCTTTAGATTTTTCAGAAAATGATTTACAAAAATTATTATCAAGTCCTGATATTAATAATATAGATTCAAAAGATTTGTTAAAAGCAGCTACTGTGGTGAAAGTACCCCCAACCCCTAATCCTGCTGCTGCTGTAATAACTTTATTAGCCTCAAAAATTTCTGCTTTAGAGGGTGAATTAGAAACTGTTGGCAAAGAGATGGCTGAAAATATTAAACGTGAAGTAGATTTAGAAATGGAATTGGATAATGTTGTAACACAAAAAGAAGAAGAAATACAGGTTGCTACTAAGCCATTGGTTATTAAAATAAGTCAACTGGAAGCTGACATATTACAATACAAAAAAATGAATTCTATTTCTTCATTAGATAATATCCCTTCAAGTACAGGATCTTCAAGAGATTTATTAAATAATAAAAAACAAAATGCTGAAACAGAATTCAATCAACTCAAATTAGAACTTGAGGAATTAAAAAAATCAAATGAAAATAAATCAAATGAAATCAATGAATTAAATGAAATAATAAAAAATCTAGAGAAGCAAAGAGATGAACAAGGTAAAATATTGGACGAGCATCAAAAAGGAGCACAGGTATTTATAAAAGATATGGCGTCAGAAAGAGAGCAATGGAGACAAAAAGAACAAGATATTATACTAAACCATGAATCAATTGAACTAAAAATGAAACAAAAAGAATCAGAATTAAGCGCTGTACAAGATGAATTGATGCGCACAATTAAAGAGAAACAAACTATGAAACAGAAATTGAGGCTAATTGAAAATGAATTAGCAAAAACAATAGATGAAAAGAGAAAACTTTCAGATCAATTAATAGATACAAAGAGACAATTGGATAAATTTAAAGAACAAATAAAATCGATCAAATTAATGGGTAATGATGATGACAATGACAATAACGACGATGATGAACTATTATATAAAAAAATGGATAAATATAAACAAGAATCAGAAGTGCTTCAACAGCAGCTTGAAACTTTAAATAAAAAACTTTCTGAGAAAGACGATGAACAACACAATCTTACTCAAACACTTGAAAAAGCAACTTTACAAACAGAAAAAACTGTAGTAGACAATGAAGCCAAATTCAATGCATTAACAAAAGATCATCAGAAAACATTAAATTCATTACAAAAACAGCATGAAGATGAAATAAAAAAGATTACAGATCAATTGATAGAGGAGAAACGTATAACTGAAAGAAAAGTCAAATCTCTAGAAATGAAACTTGAAGATGTAAGTAGATATAATCTTGTCTTTAATATCAGAGAATTGGAAAATTATTGTTAACACCAATGCTAATTACTAATCATATCATTACTATTAGGTATTATCTAAAAATATGGAATTAACAATTGAATTAAGTTCAAAATAGTTTCAAATAATAAAACTAAAGAAAACTATTTATATTATTTAAATAATTTTTCAAAGTATTATAATTTTTTTCTTCTGCAAACTTTTTAAATTTTTGCAACTTTTCAATGATTTCTTCCCCTTTCGTCATTGATGATTCATCAAGTTGTATGTTCAAATAATAAATTAAAAATAGTTCAAAATCTTTGTTCTTGGTTATATCTTCATTACAAAATGAACATTCAAAATTATTAATATGATAATTATCCACTTGTCCACATTCACATGCATATCCAATAACATCGTGACTTTCTTTACTAGAAAGATTTTTTACATCATCGCTATAAACGCTCATTCCTTGCATAATACATAATAAACTTTTTAGTTGTTGGGATCTTTCTTTTCCTACCACCATTTCCAAAAGTGTACATACTATACTAATATACAATGTTGCACTTTTCTTCTTCAGTATTCCAATAAAACTATTCACTTTGTTGCCAGTATTTGTCATTAATTCACCTGGACTTATTTTATCATCACGACACCAAAATATAAAATCTCTCAAAAATTCTTTAATATGTTCTTTTGTTATGTCCTCAATATAATTTACTTTCTCTACCATTTGCAATCTTATAACATAATTCAGATCATGGTCTGCTTCATTATCTTCATTAGCCCCTTTAATTCCAACGTAGTTATCTCCATTTAACCATATCAGCGCTGAATATGTTTCACTTGCTCTGATCACTAAATATTTAAACTCATCCTTTTTCAACAAAGCTAATACATGCTGAAGACATCTTGCTGCTTCATCTGCATTATTGGTTTTAGTTGAAAATACTAATCTTTTAAAATCACAATGAATTATTTCTATTCCATATTTTATAATTTCCTTGACAAATCCATTTATCTAATTTCAATAATAATTAAAAATTATTTGCCTAATCAATTAAAAAAAAAATAATAATATAAATATAAAGATTTATCTATAATCTCACCATATCTCTTGAAAGAATATTCATAAAAAACCTTATTTCTGAATCATACAAAATCGATCCACTGTCATTTATCCATTTCTCAAATAATGTTAGAAATTTTTCTGAATTTATATCATCATTTCTGCTACATTCATTATACAATTCATTAATTAACGAGCTATACGAAAGTGCGTATTTTGGATGTTCACTTGATTTTAATCGAAGTAATGCTGAAACCATGAGATGATTAATCTCTACACCATAACAAATTTCTCTAAATATTCCACGAACATTTTGGTAATGTTCATTTTTTTGAAATTCAAAATGTTCATCATTATGTCCTCCTAAATCAGGCTTCCATCCTGATGAACACCATAATACCATATTGTCATTTAATAAACGTCTCACTGCAAGAACATCCATGCTAAACCAAGAGTTTTCCTTGACATTACAAAATGGCACTTTTGCAAATCGTGCCTTTTCAATTCGTTCTTTAATTGTTGAATTCACTTTCAAATAATCAAAAAACATTTGTCGAGCTGCTGCTTGTCGCCAACCAACTGATGGAAACTCGTCATCACTTCTATCACGACTAATATGCATCAAAGGATGATTTTTTAATACTCTAAGTCCTTTATCAATCAATCTTCTGGGTGTATACGGCGACCTAATAATAAAAACAGTAGGCCCTGATGGCATTTTTACATATTGATTGATTTGTTTTATCAAAATATCTATCCCAACACTTTCTTTAATTTGATGGAAAACTTCAAACTCCATTTTTTCATAATATTTCACAAAATCATCAGTCCGAAAATCTGGGTTATTACCTTTAAATATGTTTAAAACATCTCTGTAAATTCGATCAAGAGAATCCGTTGTAATGTTATTCGATCCTTTCCCAATCAAAACCATAGATGCCTTATTATTTATAAATATACCAAATAATTGATTATCCCCAAACATTATGTGACTAATATACATATATGTAAGTTTGTTTGCCTCTTTAAGGTAGTTGTTGGCATGCTTATTATCAGGTAAAGATATAATATCATCCAACGTCATTCCTTTTGAAATAGCATCCTTGTATGTATTGTCCTTATTTGCCCTTTTTTTCTCAAGCGTACAACCTACATAGAATAAAGCTCGGTCCAATAATGTTATTTGTGTTTCATAAACTCCCTCAACATAAGGACTGGCAAGAAGATCATCTATTTTCCTTCGAATCTTTTGATAATTCTCTTCGGGTATTTTGACCTTCCACATATTGTTACGCTCAGTTGATAATTTTGGTATTGTACAATTTGTTTTCCTCAACTCACCACCATTTCTAACAATAAAGTCATAAAACCCATTAGGAAGCCCTTGGTATGAATTGATATAGAAGACTCGTGGAACAGTCAAATGAATATCAAACATATTGTTTGCTATCAGTACCCATAATTTAAAACTGCCATAGTCAGTCTCACTCACATGAATTATATCAAAATGATCCTTATGTATTTTAAATAAAGTCTTTAATGTGTTTGGATTTTTGTTTATTGACTTTTTTTGACTTTTCTTGCTTGGTTTAGTCTTAGCCGAACTATTACTAGTGGTAGAACCATTGATAATATGACAATGTTTCTTCAACTGGTCATTAGAATCATCAACATCATCCAACTTTCGCTTAATATGAGTATTTTGAGCATTTTGAGCATTTGAAGCACTAAACAAATCTTCCATATCATCAATACTAGAACCGTCATTTTTAGGTTTAGTACCATTACTTCCAGGTACGTCACTAATATTATCGCTGTTTAAATTTGAAAAAATACGATCAATTTGTAATTGTTTTTTATTGTCCTTTGTGCCCAATCTTTTTTGTAACCACTCTGGGTGTTCAAGTGATGGTACAGGATTTTTAACCCCTTGCATTGATGCAGGGATAGTAACAAGCTTTTGTACTGCTGATCCAAAACGCTCCAAATAATAAGGCCAATCCAATATTTCCCTAACATCAAATGTTTGCATTGCAGGATCGTTAAGCCATTTTTTTAAATAGTATCTTTTAACCTCTTCTTCAGCAGAAAAAATGGACACTGGGATTGCACGTTCATTTATAGGTGCATTTTTTGGCTTAGAAGATATGATAAAATGACAAGTAAGATTTTTATCTTTAATAACCTCATTACCCAGAAATTCGGCCATACGCTTTGCTGTAGTGATTGATGTTGATTTTTGAGTACCATAATCCTGTAAAGATTGTGACATTCCACGTTTTTCACTAATACATTCAATTAAATCCGCATCTGAAAGCGTCCTACCCTTAAGTGTAATAATACTCAAAAACTCTTCAGAAACTCTTCCTACATACTCGTAGCATTCTTCTAACGATTTTCCTTTTAGAAATACAGAAAAAATACTTTCTTGATAAGTTTTCAAGATATTAATTTCACCACGCCTTTTTAGTTCAAATCCTTTCAATTCTTGCAGTTTTCCGTTTCTATTAAAGACAGCGTATCTTTTTTTTAAAAGTTTATCTTCTTCTTTGGATGCTGGTAATATCATTGCTCTGTATGGACCATCCACTTCAAAGAAAATACTATTTTCATTGTATATTTCAAATTTGTTGACAGTAGACATCTTATGGTATTGCTTGTTGGTAAATTTTTCGTGTACAAGATAGTTAAGAAGCGTACAAGGATATGAAAAGGAAAAATCACTTCCATCTGATAATTTGAAAGTAAAGTTTTCAGGGAATGGTGTTGGAAGCATACACCATATACCATCTGTATCCAATTCTAAAGGTCGGCCAATCTTTTCAATTAATTTTCTAGCTGTCTGGATGATTTCTGAACCTGTTTTGCATACAACGCCTGCCATATCCATTGAATACCAACGTGACCCTTTACGCATCACATAGCCATAAAATGAATTTAGAATGCATTTATGAGCCAATTGTAAGGAATCGTTAAAATTAATCATTCTTATAGCATCAGAGGCTTTAATAAAATCTTTCTCTCTGTATGCTTGATCAAATTGTTTTTTCCAGTATTTAGCTTGCTTCTTATAATTATAACGTCTATCACGAAATTCACGTACAGTATCCACATAAAAAGGGCATTCAAGTTGACAAACTATTGTTTCTTTTTTCTCAGTAATTGTTTCTTTTTTCTTTCCGTAAACTTTCTGAGAGTAGTCACCAACTTGCTTTTTAATGATTTTTGACTGTTGTGATTTAGGTAAACTCAAGAAAACTTGGTTTAAATTTTCAGAATTGTTTTTTTTGAAGGTAGATTTAGTAAGCTGATTTCTAATTGTTAAATAGTCACTATTTGACGTAGGAAAAATTTCAACTCGGTAGGACCAAGTCATTCTTCGATCACATTGTTTATTGGGGTGATTAAAAGCACAACCTTTGCAAACATCTTCATCGATCATGGAATTGGGCTGAAGTCTATTTGTGAGAATTATATTCGGATACATAGAAGCAACATCCATATGATAAATAAGAGGTAATCCTTCATAAGGTTTTGGACAATCTTGGAAGATTTTTAGCATTTCTAAAATCTCTGACTTGACCTGAAGAGAAAATTTTTTTCGTTTGGTTTATGTCATTTACAATAAAAAATATGAGTAAATTAAATACTTACTGTATCAAAATTAGTGATTTCATTCAATTTATTGTCCATGAATTTCTTTAAAGCCTATTATTATTATTATTATTATTATTATTATTATTATTATTATTATTATTATTATTATTATTATTATTTAACAAAGTAATGTTAATATGTCATTATGTTTGTATAAACACATATGTATATTAAAAATGTGCCATACCATGTCATAGTTTTCAAGACTTGTATTTGAAAAGTTTGCCTCGCTATCCATATAATGTTCCCAGATTGCAAACTCTAGTATTTTATCAGTATTTTTAATCAACTATTTTTAAAATATATATATGTTTAATATATATAACTAAAACTTGATCATTAAAAATAATCGTTTTAATATAGAAGAAACCTTTTGAAATTCTTGAGGATCAAGGCTTTCAAATTTAACAGGTAGATCTGATCTGAATACACCGGCTTCCAATGATTCAACATGACCACCAATATAAGTATCATCATGAACAAGTCTTTCTTGGTTTTTACTATCTTTATAAAATGCTAAAGATTCCTCCTCATGTTTATTTGGGATAAGAAGACCTGTATTATATGCATTTACCTAAATAAAAGCACAGTCAAAGAATAAATAAATATTTAAAAAGCAAGATAGTTGTGAAGATTTATGTAATTACCATTAACAAAGCTTCACATAGAGTTCCTGTTCCTTTGCGTAAGACATCGTCTGGATTCATAGGGATAATATTTCCTAAAGAAAAGATGAATGGTCTAACATATTTGTTGAAAAGAATATACGTAGCCACCACGTCAGAAATGGAATAACGAGCCAATTTTAATGGATCTTTGTTGGCAAGACTATTTATTAAAAATATATAGAAAATATGAATATATATATATAACCAACCAATCAAAAAATAATAAAAAAATAAAATATACATTGTCATAACTTCCGGGTCTAATTCATCAGGATTGTAACCTAATTTAGATTCGGTCACTCGCTTAAGGCCTTGACTTCCAACAGGAAGATAACTATCTCTTTTTACCCAGTAAAAGCAATCCATATGAATACAATAGTCAGATGTATATTCAGCAGATTTATTCTCAGAAAATCCGATTTCCTGATGAATATAAAAATGTTAACATCTGTTGATTTTTTATATTGAGCGAGCAAAGAATGTGTGGCTTACTGTAAACATGTCAATTCCATATTTTGATGCACGTAATTTGACATAAGGCATGTCAAAGTTATCACCATTATATGTAACAAGCACAGAAGGTTTTTCATTTTGAATATGTGAGAAAAACTTTCTTAATAATGATTCCTAAATGTACGTGCAAGGATCAATATTTATTAAAGATGATAACAAAAAAAATCTCCAAGTTACCAAATTAGCTTAGAAATGTTTACCTCGTCTTTCTCATTAAAAACAGTAAATTCATAATCTTCTTGTTTCAACGGTGAATATGATAAATAACCAATATCTTGTGAAACAATACATCGATTTGTGATTAAAAAGCCCTATAAATAAAAATAAATTGCATATAGAAAAAGTTTGAGAAAAGTTTCCAAATCAATTTATATATATCTATTTGATTACTTACTTCACCATCAACCATGTATGATATCATCATAATTTCATCAATTTCTGGATTTGGAAATTTTAACGGAGGTTTAGATGTCTCAATATCAAATGAGAATATTTTTAGATCAACGTCATTGCTAATGTCTGCTCGATGCTCCAAATTAATTATTAAACCCTCATCATTATTGTCAAGGAATGATTTTACTGTGTACCATTGACCTGCACGAAATCCTATCAAATAGAAAACCAATAATAATGATACATCGTTAGTGAATGATAAATAAGCTGGTATTATTAATTCAATATAAAAGAAAAATACCTTTATCAATTGCAACACGTTGAACATATGGAATGTCGTATTCAAAAAGTTCAACAATTTCTTCTGTCAATTGAATAGCTTTGCCTTTGTAGTTGTTATCAGCACTTAAAAATTTTTAAAGTATTAGATAAAATAAAAGGAAACTTCAAAAAGGAAAAAAATTTACTAATTTACATTTTAGTGTCTTTAAAAATATTAAATGACTCCTTTTGTGTTTCATTATGTTCCAAAGCCTTTAAAAGTACATTACGAACACTGACTAAGCCAGGTACATTCCAGAAGGTAACCTTTAATAGTTTTACAGAACCATCAATTATATGATTTGGCTATTGGGAGTAATGAAAAATAATTGTAATAAGTTTTAATCAAATTATTACATTATTTACATAATAATAATCAAAAAAGATTTCCTACTTTTTTTAAATCTAATTTTTTTATTATATCAATATCTTGAATATTTGCCATATATCTTGATTTCAAATAATTAGAAATCTCTTCTTCTGAGCCAGGCTATTGAATAATGAACAAACACAATAAACATTTTTTAAAAACATTCAAAAAAAATTAAAATGCTTAAGTACTTACTTTACATCTTATTAGAAAATATGGATAATAGACCATAGTGATTTTAAAAACATCACCAGTTTCTTCACAAAAATATATATCAATGGCAGACTTGCCACCTGTTTTAATATTTGTATTTTTTAATGTCATTTCTTTGGAAGTAATGGTCTGTATCAATTTTTAAGTAATTATAAATATTTATTGTATATAATGATAAAAAGAGTAACAACAATAACAAATAATAATTAGTCGCATTTTCCTTCACTAAATAAAACATATTATTTATTACCTGATTGAAAGTAAGTAACCAGCCCAGCCTGTTTTCGCCGACGCTAAGTTGACTAAAGGATGAATTTGCATTATAATAATACTCCATGGTTTGTTATTTTCAAATTTTAAAAAAATTTTTTTTTGTAACTAACGCGTTTTTTTTAATTTATTTGGAATATTGACATGGTTTAATCAAATTTGGAAGTTATCTGCAGATTTTCACAAAAAAACCAATAATAATAATTGTGCCGAAACTATAATTTGCTGCCGAAAACTTCAATTACTTTATAATGATTAAACATTCTCTTTCGAACAAATTAATTACATTATTATTGTAAAACATTTATATATTATTATTATGTAGAAGGTATTATAATTCTTTGGTTACATTGGTATCAATAAAGGGTAAGTTCGGCGAGGCGTTTGCTTTTAGCAGATTTTGGTGTTGTTGGAAAATGTACTAGTTGAATACCATATTCTGGATCATTATCTTCTTAATCTAAGTCTATGATTCTAAATCTGAAAATCTTCATTAGCTATGTAAACACTCTTATTATTCCCACAAAGCAAACAATGAATAGATTAGGAATTACCCAAAGAATGCATTTGCTTAACTTTATTGATAATATACATGAATGGCAGTTAAAAGAAAAAATTATTGAATTTTTATATAACATTAAAATTATCTAACATGTTAATATGCCATATATTAAACCACAAAACATGACATTCTCGTATTGCTTAATTCTGTAATTTGGAAGTTATATGACCAGTTAATAAAGCTCCCGCCATGTTTTGCTTTTTTTTAATCCAACGAAAGGATCTGCTCAGAATTCAGCCAATCAGAGTTTCCTTTCATTACAGGATAAGTGAGTCTCGCGGTTTAACGGGCCTTAATATTAAATTTCTCTCGATATTACGGATAATAATGATCCTTGTCTTTTTCAGCTAGTTTAATTTAATGGAGTACAGTCTAAGCTCTCGCTCTCTATACCGACCCCGTCCCTTATATGTAATTTTTTCTGCTTTTGTTCGTTATATAGAAAGTTACTAAGATGTTCGTTATAGAGAGAGAAATAATTATAAAAAATTGAATCGGGGGAGGGGGGGGGGACAAAAGGGAAATTCGTTATGGAGAGATTTTACTAAGTGTTGGTAGAGCTTAGACTGTAATATATTATTAATATTATTACAGTATTAAATTTGAATAAAACAAAATTTCTTATATATAGAAGTACCCAAGAAGCAAAACAATGTCGAATTGACGAATTTATGGGGCTAGCAATAATATTAATATTATCGTTATTAAATAAAATTTTTTTTTTGCAATAATTTATGTCACGTGATTTGATCATAAGTTTCGCTTTTGCGGATCTCTCGGTTTAAAGGATAAAATTTCTTGGAAAAAATATCCGTTAAACTGAGATTCACTGTGCATTATCATATATAATAACAAAAAAAAAAGTGATTTTCTTTACCAAACAACGCTCACGTTGTCATTTTTGTCAAAATAAAATATTTGTACAACATTAAATGCCAATAATAATAATATTATTGTTAATATTACGGGTTTACCTCGATCTACCGGAAGGACGTTTTACAGACAAGTAATTTTCTAATATATACTATCAATTTAACATAATATTTCTTTCCTTTCCTACCATAATTATATCAGTTAATATTAAGAAATGACATATTAATATTAATATATCTGATGATGTTATCCGATTAGCCGGCTAATCTGTTTAAGTCTGTCAAACCATTTATTAACCGGCTAATCTGTTTAAGTCTGTCAAACCATTCATTAGCCGGCTAAGCTGTTTAAGTCTGTCAAACCATTTATTAGACGGCTAGGCTGTTTGAGTAGTTAAGCCATTCATTAGACGGCTAGATTTATTAATTGCACTGTGAAATGACTTGTCGGTAAAACGTCCTAACGGGTATAACGGAATCGGTATAACGGCTATTGGTGGATCGGGCGGGACCCAATATTACACGCTTTTTTATTTTTTATTTTTTTCGACATGTCTTTTTCTTTTCAAAAATAAGTGCCAAATGACAAAAAGAAACCAACAAAGGGAAGAAAAGAAAACGAAACAAGAAACAAGTAAGTGTTATTTATTAAAAAAAATTGTGGTTATCGCCACTTGTCATCATTCCATTTAATTATTTTAATTCCTTTGATTTCTTTTATTTATTTTTAGAGCATTACCAGATTCACCAACAGGTAGGAAATCCACTATCTATCTTCCTTCCAATTGGACAAATTGATCGTCTTACTTGGATTTCTTAATTAATCAAATTTAACAACGTTATTTTGGATTAATTAGGTTGAAAATATTATTAATGTTTCAAAAATCAATGAACAACATACATATATGACATCGGAATTGAAAAAATAAATAATATAAATAATGCATTGGAAAAAAAAATAAAAAAGGAAAATCAATGAATATGATGAAGTAAGCTTTAAAATTAATTTGTTCCCTTCTGATGACCAAGAAAGTTTTGGCGATTATTCTAAAAATGAAAACAGAAAACATTATTACGACTACTAGTATAATTAATAGAGAGGAAGTATTAATCAAATAGAAATCTATGAAAAGAAAGATAAAAAAGATCTATTCAATGTTAACTTTTAGATAATTTTATCACTTACAACCATTATTTATATTAAATACTTTTTATATATGAGAAATAAAATTTCTTTAAAAAAATCAACGTGTAGAATAATATTTTTCCTTTACCGAGATTTATAGTTCACTAGATAATGTCAATCAAGAAATAATGAAAAATTGGTTCCTTAAAAAGTTCATTTTAGTACTATTATTACCCGTTACTTTTAAAACCATAGCATTGAATATATTACACAATCATCATGAACATGTTAGTAGTACAACGGCGGTGTCAAACAATTTTAAACAAAATATAATACGCGACTTTATTATTCATTTATTTCGTGTATTTCTTTATCTTTTATCATTTTAATTTGATAACATAGCTGTAATTTCGTCGACCTTCCCAAGAATAATTTCTTTAATTAAAAAAAGACATAATCCTTGACAATATACGATTTATAGATAGAAGACTTCCAAATCGAATTTATAATATTCGAAGACTTTGATTCAGAGGTTTAGAAAATAACTTTCTTGGATAATAACTTTATAACTTTTAATAATTTCAATAACTTTATATTTAGTATTATAAAAAAAACAATAAACAATAATTGTAGAATCCAATTTTGCCACTCTAATTAAATAATTATTTGACTTTGATGACCGGTCTGTGTTATCTAATATTCTGCCGATATTAATATCTAACGTGTACTCTGACAAGAACCGCAATATTTGCTGTTTGATTTTTTTATGTGGATTAGTGGCGTTTTTAGAATAATTCTCATGTTCATAAAACACAAGTTGGGATTATAGCTATCAAACTCAAGGTTGATTGTGTTTGCTTGAACCATTTCCAATGCCAACCTATTATACTGAACCTCTAAAACGAAAAGGGATTTATCTAAACCAAATGTGCAATACTTGTGAAATTTTTGTTTCATCCTTTATGGACGATTATATAATAAACAAGGGCATTTATCCAATCATGTGATAGATACTATTACAATTGTTATTAATGTTATAGCCCTTGAAATTTCTTTGTGGCATCATAATAATGTTCGGTCTGCCCCATGTTAGAAAAAAATTTTTTTATCAACAACTTAATATGTATAAATCAAATGAATAAAAGAAATTTTAAATTTAATAATACATTATATAATAATATATGGAGAAAGCTGGAGAATTGTTTAGTAAACGAGAATAACAAACAATAAATAATATCATAATAACAAGTTTACAAATGAGGAAGAAAGTGAGACATTGAGATTTTCATTTGTGCTTTTGAATTCTGCAGAAGGTATCACTCAAAAACTCGATCAATAGTGCAAGACATCATCAAATGTTGTGCCAAGTGCCAAAATTTTCAAATCAATGATATTCTTTGGTATAAAAATATACGACTTGGTCACTTATATACTAATCTATTCAGCCAATCGTATTATTATTACGAGTTTCCTAACACTGCTATACCGACAGGATATTTTCTAATATATTCTATCAGTTTATCATAATATTTCTGCCATAACAATGTTAAAGTATTGTAATTTTTGATTTTTGCTTACTTTCTCTTCCACAAGTTTATAAAAAATATATATATATATAAACGGAACTGGCAAATGCAATGAGCGCAATTGTCAGTAATGGTAATAATGAAGATCGTACAGATGCAGCGTACAATATTGAAAATATTGACCATGAGAATGAAATAGAAGCAAATAATGAAGGTGATGGTGGTGAATAATTTTTTATTCTTTTTTCATTTCTATTTAACAACCAATAAAGACATGACATTCATTAGTTTTTAAAAATAAAATACCATCTCTATTTTTACACATCTTGATTTTCACAACCTGCAATACTTATTTTTTGCATTCGATAAAAAAAAGTGTAGCGCGTCAAAAAATAAAGTCACGTAGGAAATAAAGCACCTTGCGGATTTTGGAAGGTGATCATTACATGGCAAAGAACAAATTTCTTCGTGTTAGTTAATAATTAATTAATTAGACACATGTGAATTTCTAATACGTGTTAATTATTTATTTAAAATTTAAAATTAATTTGTGACCACGGAAAAAAAAGTAAACAGGTTTTCACAGATCACAAACTTATAAGAAATCACTTATATAAATGAACCACGCTCTCCTCCCTTCTCCTCCCTTCTCCTCCCTTCTCTTCTCTGCAAGTTTATAAGAAATCAAACCTTTGCCATACGACTCTAATATGCCAGAATAAGAAAAAATTACAGATCTGATTAAAGTACCCAATTTCAAAAATCTGCAAAAAAAAAAATAAAAAAATTTACGAATAGTGACACGACGAGCATTCAATCTGATACTAAATGATATTATGAATATTATGTAATAATTATAATAATAATAATAATAATAAAAATAACAATTCCTTGAAGTGGCTTAAAATTTTTTACATTCTATATATTACTAGATTGATTATCATTGTTGTTGTATTACATTATTATTTTACAAACAAAAACTCTCCATAACCTGATTAACTTCATTTATAAAATAAAAAGAGAAAAATTAATGATTAATGGCGAAATAAAATAGCCGACGAATAAATTCCAATAAAGTAAATAGAATGGAATTAATGAAATTAAATTAGTGTCTGAAATCGGCAAAATAATTTGATTCTTGTTGATCAAACAAATTGATAATTAATTAATATCGACCAATAATTTAATAATGAATAAAAATTTTTTTTTTTACAAAAATCTTATAAAATTAAATAATTATTTTTCTTAAAAAAATAAAAAATAATTCTCTTAATTAATTAATTCAAAAAATGGAAGCAATTAAACAATACAGAACCATTTGTCCTTTTCTTCGCAATACCAACATTAAAACTCTTCGTCATTTCGCTAGAAAGTCAAACGAGGCTGGAAACAATGGTTTGCTTACTTTGGCTCAAACTTGTCCTGTTATGAGTAAAGCTTTAGCTGTTCAAAGCAAAAATTGTTTGCATACTTCAGTCAAATTGAATCAACGACCTACTTCTTCTTTGAAGCAAGTTTCCATCGTTTCTACTACCAATCCCATTATTAACAATATTAAGAACCCCTCTCACCATCACAATTATCCAAAACATCATCCTCAACAACAAGTTCCTTGTAAACATGCCGAAAGTTCTAAACAACAGCAGCAGCACATGATGCCAACTACTCATCATACTAAAGCTAAATTATTTGATTATGAGGCACTTTATTCTGATGAGTTGAATAAAAAACACCAAGATAAATCTTATAGATATTTTAATAATATTAATCGTCTTGCTAAACATTTTCCAAAAGCTCACACTGCCAACACGAATGAAAAGGTTACTGTTTGGTGTAGTAATGATTATCTTGGAATGGGCAGAAACCCTGTAGTTCTTGAATCTATGCAGTAAGTTTTACAATTCTCTTTTGAAAGAAGAAACAAGTAATGAATTTATTTCTTGATTCCTTATCTTCCCTTCTTTCTTATTCCCTAATAATAATAATGATGATGATCATAATAATGAATAGAAATGCCATGAATACTTATGGTGCTGGCGCAGGTGGTACTCGTAATATTGCTGGTAATTGTAATTCCCATTTACAATTAGAAGCTGAATTAGCCGATCTTCATCACAAACCTGCTGCTTTAGTTTTCACTTCTTGTTATGTGGCAAATGATAACACACTGAGCACTTTGGCTTCAAAACTTCCTGGCTGTGTAATCTTTTCTGATTCTTCAAATCATGCATCAATGATCCAAGGTATTAAACATTCTGGTGCAAAAAAATATATTTTCAAACATAATGACCTAAAAGATCTTGAGGAAAAACTTCAATTGGTTGATATCGATACACCAAAAATAATTGCTTTTGAAAGTGTTTATTCCATGTCTGGCTCTGTTGGTCATATTGAACAAATTTGTGATTTGGCCAAGAAGTATGGCGCAATTACCTTTTTGGATGAAGTTCATGCTGTTGGAATGTATGGTCCTCGTGGTGCCGGTGTTGCCGAACATTTAGATTTCGACTTGAATGCTCATCGTCCTTATGCTGGTAATGGAAGTGTTCTAGACAAAGTCGACATCATCTCTGGTACACTTGGTAAAGCATTTGGTGTTGTTGGTGGATATATTGCAGCTTCAGCAAATCTCGTGGATATGATTAGATCATATGCCCCTGGATTTATTTTTACCACTTCATTACCACCCTTCATTGCTGCTGGTGCTAAAGCATCTATTCAATATTTGAAAAAATCGAACAATGAACGTGCAATGCAACAACTTAATACCCGTTTGTTGAAAGAACGTCTTGCTCAATTGGGTATTCCTGTTGTGCCAAACCCTTCTCACATTGTACCTGTATTAGTTGGTGAGGCTGAAACTTGCAAAATTGCATCTGACCAATTGTTGAGTAATCATGGCATCTATGTTCAATCAATCAATTACCCAACTGTTTCCAAGGGTGAAGAACGTCTCAGAATTACACCCACACCTGGTCATAATCAACAAATGACTGATTATCTTGTTAATGCATTAGAAATTATCTGGCAAAAGAATGGATTGAAACGTGTTAATGATTGGAGACGTGAGGGTGGCAAAGCTGGTGTTGGCACCGATGATCCAACTCCTAAACCAGTTTGGACTGATTATCAATTGAATAATATTAATGGCAAGAATAATGTTGAAGAAATTAGTGCCAATAATAATGAATTTAATACTAGAAATCTAAATGTTATGGTTTATTAAATAAACATATATATATAGATATGGTTAATATAATTATTTTATTTAAAATTTAGATTAACAAATTTTGGCCTAAATGTTATTTTGTTATTTATGTTATTTAAAATCTTAAAATAAAAAAGTTTTGAGCAATGAATGAAAGGTTGGGTAAATTGGCACCGTTCACTAATGTTCATTATAGAAAATAAACTCCAAACATCCCACCACAGAATTTTAATCATGAATTTTTACATTTGATACAATTTGATTTTGACTCGCAACATAATCTCATTATATTCGTATGTACATTAGTAAATAATACTGGACACAAAAGCATCATTTAGCAATCAAAAATTTCCAGCACTCACTATATTGATTGCATATACTTTTTTTTTAATAAATTTCCTTCTTTTAGTAATTTTAGTCAAGAAGTTTAGCTTTGACAAGTATAATTATAATTATTTGGGAAAGAAGGTAAAATTTCTCTAGCATTATTAATTGATTGATTAATTGTTTATTTATTTGTTATTAAATTGTTTCCTCTTTTTCACCGATTCTTTTTCTTTTTTGTTAGCAATTTTGTTAGTATTGGTATTGGGCTTTTGTATTTTTGAACTGTCATTTTCTGTTGTGTAATTGTTGTTAGAAAGAGATGATGATATAGAAGGACCTATCAGTGATTTTTTCCCAACCAGTCTATACAGAAATTCAATTTCTTTAATTTCTTTTTTCCAATCGCTAAATGTTTTATCATGAGCTAATGGTGTTTCTAATATCAATGGTATTTTATTTAATCGGTCATCAACCGAAAAGCTTCCAAGTCCAAATAACCTTCACCGATATTCCGATGTCTATCTCTGTTTGAGCCTAATTCCAGAGTTGAATCATTTAAATGCATTCCTTTTAAATATTGAAAACCAAAATGCTGATCAAATTTTGACATTGTCTTTATACATGGGATGGTAATTGTTTTGCCAAAAACGTAATACGTAATTACGAAATTATTTACCATTACTATTACGAAATTAATTACGCGTGACGAAATCAATTACGAATAACGAAATTAATTATGAACAACGAAATTAATTACGAATGACGAATTAAATGACACATTATTTATCCCGTTATACTAGTATAATGTCATAAATTGTCAACTTTTTTTTTAGAATTATCGGTATAATGGGAGAACCAATCAAAATCATTCTGATCATTTCTGGAAAAACAAGGAAATTTAAAACTTACGCCGAGATCAAAAATTGACCAGCATCATGGAAAATTCTGGTAACACTTCCGTATAATGCTGGTCAATTTTGACCCGAAGTATTGATACGTAGAATAATTAATATTAATACAATGTATAAAACATGAACGAAATAAAAAAAAATACAAAATCACATGACAATGATTCACATATTCTATATGAACTCCCGTTATAATGACATTCTTGTCATACTGACATTTTTTGTTTGTATGGAGAGTGTCGTTATAACGGGAGTGACTTGTATTATTATTATGATATTTCCAATAATTAATTCGTTGTTATCCGTAATTAGTTTCGTCACCCGTAATTAATTACGTAATTACATTTTTAAAGAGTGAAAGTGGTAATTAATTACGTTAATTACGAATTACGTATTTACAGTAATTAGGTAATTACCATCCCATGTGTAATGCTGACAGCAAAGTATCTTCCCGGTTTGAAAATTTTATCAAAGGTATAAGTTCTGTTATTTTCTCCGTGTTTATTTGTAATTTTTCACACGTTGTTGTTATAACTTCCGGGAATTTATCTCGCGATCGAGCATCTTTCTATATTAATATATATTTTTTGATATTATACAAGTTAATATGTGTTGATACAAAAATTAATGCACATTTAAAAAAGGATGTTTTAAAAAAGTACTACAATCATTATGTGAAGTAAAGAAAGAGATTATTCAAGAAACTTTACACACAAAACAGTATTATTTGTCAACTAAAAGATTTATGGTGTTTATGTATAAAGTTGAATCATTGACATTAGATTTATTTAAAAAAGCTTCAATATTTGGACCTAATATTTTATTGTATATAAACAACAATCAATACAACAATTGCTATCTTATAAATGCATTTCAATCTTTAATTAACAACATATGCATTGAATTGGATGAAAGCCTTGAAGAAATCAATATTGAATTTTTATTTAAAAGAATAATTACATTTTATAACAAAAGTCGACAAAAAACATGGTGTGAAACAAATGATCTAGTTCCTGAAAAAGGTACTGCAAGCCTTAGAGAAAATCTTAAGATGATGTATTCAAAAAAGTTAATAATAATAATAATAATAATAATAATAATAATAACAAAAAAGGAAATGTAATAAAAAAGACAAGTCTATCAACAAAACTCAATTTAGCTTCGTATTTGGGCAGAATTGGAGGATGCTAAAATTCATTTTACTAATACTTTTCAAGTAACTGAATTAATTTGGTT